TCCTTGGCATTAGGAAGGCAGAAAGAAAGGGAGGAAAGGAAAGATGGAGAAAGAAGGAGAGAGGGAGGGAAGGAGGGAGGGAGGGAGGAAGGGTGGGAGGGAGGGAGGGAGGAAGTTAGGAAAGGGATGTTGGCCAAGTGAATAAAGGAAGGAGTGATAATCACAGTTAGGAAAACAGCAAGAACAAAGTTCTAGAGACACAAAAGTCCATGTGTCTTATGAGAACAAATGGTTTCCTGGACCAGGGAGAGACTAGTCTGGGCAGGGGCTTGTCACAGGTCAGGGAGCTGCTGAAACTTTCCCCTCTAAATGGTTCTTTACCACGTTGGGGGGCTGGGTAAAATACAATAGCTTCCATTAAAGCATTCTTTTAAGGGCTCATACTTTCTCCTTAAATCCATGTGACTTTTTACTTAGTTTTATAACACTACAGTATTTGTTTTAACATTTTAAAAACATGTTTTAAATGACTTACCACTGAAGGAATCAGAGGCCCACCAAAAGACCCCACAGTTTTCCTACAACTTCTCTCACTTCACCCAAATCGTGGAGTGCCCCTCTCCACAACCTCAAAAATATCCCACTTGGATAAGTATGATGCAGGCAAAAAACCTTTTAAGGCATTGGAAGATTGGAATTGGATTTTGTTTTATAAAGGATCCTTTTTTATTTTTAACACTGTGAAAGATACAGTGATAGGAAGGTGATTCTGGAGACAGATAGAACACTTAAGTGGCTGGCTATATTCTGGCCAGAAATAATGAGAGACTGGAAAAAGGACGCGACAAGAAACTAGAAAAAATGATCAGTAGGAACACTCTATCTTTTTCTTAGAGCCCCCTTTAGCTCTTAGTAACAAAGCTTCCAATTGTCCACAGCCATACCAAACAAGATAGACATCAACGCTTGAGAAATTCCTCTGAAATGTCATTTAAGCACTTGGAAGCTGGGTGATCCTATCACTGTTTTCTCATTTAGTGTTTGTGAAGGTTCCTGATCATGGCTCTCTTTGGAATTCCCATATTCACAACATATAACACCATTATCTCCTAGTCACTAAAAATAACTTGTAATAACCCAAGACTTTATTATTCCCTTTGTTAGGCCTGTGTGGAAATTCTCCTTATCTATATATTCACAATATATTTGCTATGGGCAGCTAGCAGTATTTTCTTTATCTAATGTTCTTATTTGTTTTATGCATTTATGTTAATTATTTCTTCAAAAGTCTTCAGGGTTTGGTTCACAGATCATCCAACAGTGAGTTTTGTTTCTGTTTTTGTTTTTTGAAAATATTTTTATTTATTTCAGAGAGGAAGGGAAAGGGAGAGAGAGAAACATCAATGATAAAAGAGAATAATTGATCAACTGCCTCCTGCACACCCGCTACTGGGGATGGAGCCCACAACCTGGGTATGTGCCCTTGACTGGAATAGAACCCAGGACCCTTCAGTCTGCAGACCGACACTCTAACCACTGAGCACCAGCTAGGGCAGAAGTGAGCTTTTTATTATGATGTGATCAATCTTGGCCTTCCAGATGACCTTCTGGATAAGGGGTCCTCAAACTACGGCCCGCGGGCCACATGCAAATACAAATATTGCATTTGTTCCCGTTTTGGTTTTTTTTACTTCAAAATAAGATATGTACAGTATGCATAGGAATTTGTTCATAGTTTTTGTTTTAAACTATATTCCGGCCCTCCAACGGCCTGAGGGACAGTGAACTGACGCCCTGTTTAAAAAGTTTGAGGACCCCAGATCTATTTACTTATCCACTTAACAAACATGTATTGACAACTAATGTTCATAGTACTAGATTCTGAGAATTCATGTTAAAAGGCAAATTTTCTGTCTTTGAGAAGTGAAGGAGAGGTATGAGTACGGCACATAGGCATTACAGTGCAGCATGCAGTAAAACACTACAGGTATGCTCAGAGTGCAGAAGTTGCGAGGAGAGAAGAGGAAACATTACCTATGCTAGGAGTTTGGGGTAGTGCTGGGGGAACACTTAGATGAGTTTTGAAACTTGAGAAGTTTTCAAGGTTAGGAATTAGAATATGGAGTGGGGCACCCTTGGGAAACTGTGGATACTAATGAATGAGTGAAGCATGAAGTATCACTAGTGCATAGCATAATACACAACATTAAGAAGAATCTTAAAAGATTCAGAAATGGACCACTAAAGGTACTGGAGAGAATTAAATAAGAATAAATCTGTAGGTCAAAAATCCCTAAAGCAAGTATCTGTTGTCTAAATTCTCCCCTTAGACAACATTTTTGATTCTTTGTGTTGCTTTAGAGACCTATTTCATTGGCTGCT